GTTACCGTTTGCCAAGAACTTTTGCTCCTCCTCAGAAGTAAATTGTTCAGGCTTCCCCTGTGCAACGTGATAGCAATTTATAGCAGTTAACCACAACACCATCTTAGCATGCCATATCTTGTAATTTGTTCCATCAAAATCATTTGGCTTCAAAGCAGCAACAAAACCACTAATAGAAAATTACCTAATATCAGGTTTTTGGATTGTTAGGAATTTAGGCAATTTCATGTTAAAATTAATCCAGAAAAACAATAGCAAAATTGTGATGACAAATATGTGCACTTGTGTGATTTTACTACTACTCAAATTAGTAGCAAATATGTTGATGAACATCATACTGATCATGGCGAAAAAGAGATTAAACTTAACCAATTTGATAATAGAGATGTACCCTGCGGAGAGACCCATGCTCAAGGCACCGGTGGCTCTAGACCCACTCATGGTGAGTTGCTCAAAGTCATGGACCGTAGTTGATGTAGGAAGATGTACATAGTGCCGTCCCTCGAACGTCCACCGAAAAGTAGACGAAGCCGATCCGAGGAAGTAGAGGCACCACCAGGAAGGAGATGAAGAAGACGGCGAGCAGTCGTGGAGACGCTCCCCAAAAACCTGATAGCCCGTACACACCCGAGCAAGTGTCTCGATGCGAACGCCAATTCTGGAGGCCTACTCTCCCACACTCCGTGCGCGCAGAGGATGGGATGGAGTGCCGTCCCTCAAACGTCCACCGGGAAGTAGATGAAGCTGATCCGAGGAAGTATAGGCACCACCAGGAAGGAGATGAAGATGACGGTGAGCAGTCGTGGAGATGCTCCCCAAAAATCTGATCGCCCGCACACACCCGAGCAGGTGTCCCGATGTGAACGCCGGTTCCGGAGGCCTGCTCTCCCACACTCTGTGCTCGCAGAGGATGGGACGGGGAGTACTCGGATGCAACTCGACAGGAGGGAGGTGTGGTAAGGCTTGCGTGAGGCAACAGGGAGACGAAGAGTCGAAGTGATTACGAGTAATCACCACCGTAGTGAATGGTAACTGATCCGTAACTAACTCGTCCACATTAGCGCATGTACCCCTTCCTCTTCCTTAGCCAGCCCAAGTGGCAAAACCAACCCACACATACAAAAAACCACAAATAAATCGCCAAAAAGCCTTGATCGGCGACGGTGGCGCTGCAGCAGCGTGTCTTTGGCCTCTTTCAACTTCTCTATAGGTGCACACGTATGTAACCTATTTAAGTCGAGTCAACGATCAGTCAAAATCCCATACGAGACTAAAACTATATTATACCACAACATTTAATATGAACTTAGAATTAATTTATTTATTAAATAAAATATGGGCCTAAATCCATATAATATTCAACACAAATTATCCATATATACTAGTATATAAGATTCAATGATGCATCTATTATTTTTTTGGCTCGAAGCTAAGGCCTCGTTTGGCAGGGCTTCACTTCACTAGTGAAGTCATTTTTTTGGCTTCAGCTCCACGAACAGTTCCACCGGTGGAGCTGAAACGATTTTGATAAACCGTTTGGCAAAATGGCTTCCCTGTGAGAGCATATTTTTAGGGGCCTAGAGGAGGAGCCGGGAGAAGCCACTTTTTTTTGACTCAATCCCACCCCAAATCATTGTGAGAGTATGTTTTTAGGGGCTTCACCAGTAAAGCTATTTCACTTTACCCTGTTTAGCAGAAAACGGCTCCAAACAACTTCTGAAACTGATGAAAAAGCTCTGCCAAACCGAATCTAAATATATAGGCAGATGGGCCTGTCTAGTCTACGCTCTGGTGTTTTAGAGGCACGTGACACCTGAGCGTGGATGGCATGCAAAACATTCGATTGCAAATAAAAATAAAAATTGACTGTTTTTTATTCATTCATATGACCATTAGATCCAGATGAAATGAACAAAAAATTATCCAAATAATATAAAAATATTAAATAAACAAAACAAAAAAATTAGCCAGATTATTTTTATGGAAGCAAAATTGAAAAATATTTGCCAAATTGAAAATTTTCAAAGGAGGTCCAAATAAAACATACAAAAAATAAAATGGTCACCTCATGGGGATCCCCGCTCAGGATCCTCTGCGGCCACGATGGATGGGCTGCTGCACTGGATCAGAATGCGCGAGGGACGCATGCAGGCACACAGAGTCACAGACGGCGAGGCCCTGGCGTCACGCATGCAGGTGCGGTCTCCAACACGGCAACACGCTGAACTCCACTAGCCTGGGCGTTGGTGAGGACCCATGACGAGGACCCATGACGATGCACGAGATCAGAACGACCACGGATCTGGCGGTTGGAAAAATCGAGTGCGGGAAGCCCAAATATTTAGCGATCAAGATAGATGTGCAATACATCGAAGTTGGCATCGTGTGGCGTTGAAGAAGTGCCAAAGTTTGTTGACACTGAAAAGGAGAATGTTTAAGGGAGAATCAGAAGGGAATAGTATATCCGTGCTCTCACTGTAAGAACGGGAGAGTATGGTTAGACGATGGTAAAGTCACGTCACACTTGGTTGGATCATCATTGACACTTGTTGCACTACACCACAACCCCAAATTGACGGCTCCATGTTGCTAATCTGTACATAATGACCCCAAAATTATTATTCTATTATCAATGCGCGGACATCCATTACAACGTATATTAACCATACAGACATGGACATCGATTAATACGAGCATACATACATGGACATTGATTCATTCATATATGAGCTTGGCCGAATGTAATGTCAGATTGAACATTTTCATATAAGTACAAAATAGATTAGAAGCTCACAAACATGAAGTTTGCGCATGAGCGAGCCATCAATATCTCTACGGCCCTACCTCCACCTCCTGTGACCAAAAGCTATGCATCCACCATTTGTGATAAAAGCTTAGCTCACTAACATATAGAACTCTTTGCTCAGATTTCACTAACAACAATCCCATAGTTATATCTCTAATAAGTTCAAAACAAAACACAACTTTCATGAGCACTTTGAACTTGCCAACACCATCAGGCATGCTACCTAGCACCTCGTAGGATGGCCCGAAATACAATATGAATATCCTATTAGCGACAACTTTAAGCAAAGTCAGAGAAAAGGCAACCGATATTATTCTAACCAAAGCTCAAGATGTTTCTGCGGCTGTCCCAAATTACACATATTTTGTATTGCTAGTTTGCCGGACCTTTCTAAGCAAAAATATAGAGAAGGCAATGATATGTATTTTGTGCCTACATAAAAAAAATCCTGCTACACAAGATCATTGCATAGGCTCTAAAAGATCATACTCCATTCTATTCCGTCTATGTAACAAACTTATTTGGTAAAAAAACAAGTAAAGAAGAGTTCACCTCACATTCTAAATCAAGGACAAACCTAAAGAAGCCACCTGCGCCTTGTAGTGGACATGGACACTTATGATGTGTGCCCTGGCTTATTTTGTATTGAGTGCCTCAGTGGAGGTTTGGCTGTGGACGATCAGTATCTTGCAAGAATTAGTAGCTCCATGTTTTTATGTTAGCATTTATCCTTATGTAGAGATATGAATCTAGAGAATTGTACATGTTATAACAAAGTTAAATTGTGCACAACCTTTCTTGTGACAACATAATATACATAAGCTATAACGTGTCAACAATCAAATAAATCCAATGCATGTAACCCAGTATCTTCACTTCGTAGTTGAAGGAGTAAGGCAGTGGACATGTAAGTATGCAACCTCAGGTGCATAAGAGCATCTCTCAACAATACTACCCGGAATAGACTCGCTACTTGTTTGCTTGGGTAGCCATCTATTTTAACACTACTCATTTTTTGTTGTTTTCTCCAGCAACGCCACCTAAAACAGGCCTCTCAAATCCGTCCTTATAGAGAATGACATGTAGGACCCACATCTCTATCATATTCTTCTTGCCATAGATGAACACCAGCAAAGCAGAGGTGGTGGTGCACGTCCAACGGGGCAAGGTCGGCAGGCCCGCCGCACCACCGGGATAGCTGCCCATTAGGGCAGGCCATGCTATCGGGGCAAGGCTCGCCGTTGGGGCAGTCCCGCACTGGCCAGGCATCGCGCCAAGAATGGACGCCCACGCTGGGACGAGCACCGCGCCAGGGGAGCCGCGCCGTTGGGGTAGGGCTCGCCACCACGCCAGGTAGGGACGACCACCCATGCCGGGGGCAGGCGCCGCGCCGGGGATACAGGTGCCACACCGGGGGTAGGACCCTGCCACGCCAGCTGCGCCAGGGGGAAGGGAAGGCGCTAGGAGGAGTCGCGGTCATGGGGATGAAAAATTCAGGCAGTCCAGTAGGGCCCGACATGAATGGGTAGTAGGAGGAAAATAGGAGACCAACAAATCTTGAGATTTACGGCTGTTCGCTGGTTGGTTTCTGGGCTGATAAGTCCGGTTAGTGCTGGTTTGTTATGAGAGAAAAACAATATTAGCTGGCTGATGAACTCTGGCTGAAACCAACAAGCGAATATGTTGTTAGTAGAGGGTCTGCCAGAGCTTTTTTTTTCCCTACTATCGAAATTGGGGATAGAAGGTCTAGTAGTGAATGTTGCTGGAGAAGCTCTAATAACTAATTTATTGTGCAATCGGAATTAAGCTTGGTCTCACGGAATTAACCAGTAAATAACAGAGCACGTGTGGACCATATATATACACGCACGAAAATGACAGTTCCTGCACCAAATCAAGCTAATAATGTCCTCTTAGATGGGTACAGTCCCTCCGATCCGACATAGACGTTAGAGCTCGGCCCTTCTCACCGTCCATTTATTCGGGTGATGAGATTATCATCGTTGATCTCACCTACCATATATATGGGACCCCAACCTCGATTTCTTTATTTGCCTCTCTGTTTTTGTTTTTTACTTTTTGGATTGGAATAAAACCAAAACAAAGCCGCTCCAATGATGAATTCGCTCGTATTATTAGCCACTTCCCCCACCCATCTTGTTCCTTGTCCCATTTTACAAACGCCGATCCAGCAATGGCTACTCCGACCGTCGTCCTGGTGCCCGTCTGGGGCATTGGCCACTTCGTGCCAATGCTCGAGGTCGGCAAGCGGCTGCTCGCACGCAGCGCACGGCCCCTCACGATCACCGTGCTCGTTATGCCGGAGCCTGAGGCGACGCGGGCGTCCGAGATCACCGAGCACATACGCCAGGAGGAAGCCACTGGCCTCGCCATCCGCTTCCACCATCTGCCATTAGTGGCACCCCCAACCGACAGCTCGGGCATCGAGGAGTTCGTATCCCGCTACGTGCAGCTGTACTCGCCCCACGTCAAGGCGGCCGTCGCCGGCTTGACGTGCCCGGTGGCCGGCCTCGTCGTCGACATCTTCTGCACGACGCTGTTCGACGCGGCGCTCGAGCTCGGCGTGCCGGCCTACGTGTACCTGATCGCCAGCGCCGCGATGTGCGCGCTCCTGCTGCGCTCCCCGGCGCTCGATGAGGAGGTCGCCGGCGACGTCGAGTTCGAAGAAGTGGAAGGCGGCGTGGACGTGCCGGGGCTGCCGCCTGTGCCGCCGTCCTGCCTGCCGACGGGGCTGGAGAACAGGAAGATCACGACCTACAACTGGTTCCTGTACAACGGCAGGCGCTACATGGAAGCCGGAGGCATCGTCCTCAACACCGTTGCCGAGGCGGAGCCGCGCATCCTCGCGGCCATCGCCGACGGGCGGTGCACGCGCGGTGTCCCGGCCCCTCCGGTGTACTCGATCGGGCCGGTGATCCCCTTCACCCCACCCGCCGCCGGCCAGCAGGCGCGCCACGAGTGCGTGCGTTGGCTCGACTCGCAGCCTCCGGGCTCCGTGGTGTTCCTCTGCTTCGGAGGCAAAGGCTGCTTCACGGCGCCGCAAGCGCTCGAGATAGCGCACGGCCTGGACCGCAGCGGGCATCGATTCCTGTGGGTGCTGCGCGGGCCGCCGGAGCCCGGCATGAAGATGCCCACGGACGGGAACCTCGCGGAGCTGCTTCCGGCGGGGTTCTTGGAGAGGACAAAGGACAGAGGGCTCGTGTGGCCCACCAAGGCGCCGCAGAAGGAGATACTCGCCCACGCCGCCGTGGGAGGCTTCGTCACGCACGGTGGCTGGAACTCGGTCCTCGAGAGCCTCTGGCATGGCGTGCCCATGGTTCCGTGGCCGCTCGGCGCCGAGCAGCACTACAACGCGTTCACGCTGGTGGCCGACATGGGCGTCGCCGTGGCGATGGACGTGGAAAGGAAGAGGAACAACTTTGTGGCGGCGGCCGAGCTGGAGCGAGCGGTCAAAGCTCTCATGGGCGACGGCGAGACGGCGAGGAAGGTTAGGGACAAGATCATGGAGATGAAAGCCGCGTGCCGGAAGGCAGTGGAGGAGGGCGGATCATCGAACGTGTCGCTGCAGAGTCTCTGTCATGCGCTCGTCGAAGGTGCCGTGCACCCGAGAAAGTGATGCCGACAGAGTTCAATGACAAGGCTCTGGCCTCTGTGCATTTCCTTCACGGCATGAAACCATCAGCCATCCAATGGTGTACTCCTTGTATTCTGTTTTGAGTTCTCTAACCCTGCCCATTACCCCGAGCCATTGATGTAAGTGGGCAGTAATACTAGAAGTCCCAGCAATAACTGGATTTCAATGGGAAAATGAGGTTGTAGTAGCTTGAAATTTCGCCAAATAAACTCACATGTTCGTTTCACGGGCCTACCTAGTGCTCGAAACCATCGTATTTTATAGTACCTTAGGAGCAACTCCAAAGGACTAGGCAGATGTATTTATGAAGTTATTTATAATTATTGTGCTCTAAAAAACATTTCAATAGTCTATTTATATTGTTTTTCATTTTGCTCAGCTAAATGTCCCACCATTCTCGTCGGTCATATTTTCATAGCGAGTCTATCTGTCTAGCCAATCAATTCTCAAGCGCCGCCCTCTCCCGTGTGTGCTCTGTTCGTTTTTCGGCTTGTCTTTTCAGCCACAACAATATTTTTCTATCACAACAAATCAATCAAAATAGTATTTTAATTTTTTTTTTTTAGCCAAACGAACTGCCAGTGTTGCGGGCTTGCGGCCGGTCGGCTGCCGCTGACCACCACGAGCACGAGCCCTGCTGGCTGGTGCAATGCTGCCTGGGCCTTCCTGGAAGCAGCACGTATGCTAGGGGACAGGTAACAGGCGGTGCTGGCCATGGGACAGACCTTGCTGACAGTTGCACGCGCAGCTGCTGGCTGTCTCCATGGGACGTAGCTAGGGCCTCACGCGGTCGACGAAGGCGAAACCGATCGGATCTTCCTGAAAAAACAGATGACATGACCGTTTTAAATATAGACCAGAGAAAATTTAGCTAGACTATTGTAAAACTTTATATTTTTATTTTATATAATGACTAAATTTTATAATTTAGCATCTAATTTTATCTAGTCTTTTGGAGTTGTTCTTAAAATTAATTGAAAATCTAAGGCCACAGTACTAAACTTATTGTTGGTAACTATTAGATGCTTGATTACCTTTATATTTCGCACCTGATAGGCACCCACACCTAATCCTTTTTTCCCGAAGCGAATGAAAATTTGTATTAAAAGTTGACACAATACATCCTTGAATTACATATGAAAGAACCTAAAACTAAATCAATATTCTATGTAAGTCCTTACATCATCTTCTTCCCTAGTGGCCTTGATCAATGCTCTAGGTGAAAAAAGCATTGTCGATCACCTAAGCTAGAGTACAGTCCTCAATGCGAAATTCACTGACCAATCCCAAAACGTTAACATTGTCACAGGAACCTACATTTTAGAACCAGACTAAAACACATCTTTTTTTTATAATGGATTTTCATTAATCCGGCCTCTATATCCACGACTCACGCCTCAACAAAGAGGAGAATATATACAAAAAAAACTACAATTTCAGCACATCTGTGCTTCCCAACATCCTCTCCTAGAAGGGCCAGATTCGGTCAGTGGAAGTCGCCAAGTCGTCGCCACCCCTAGTGTGCCATCGCTACGAATCTCCGTTGGTGCCATCTTCATCTGCTTCAAGTGAGGTGACGCCATGTGTCACCGGTTAGCCCACCTTCATCCGTCGTCGTCCAGTCGAAACTAGATGATCAGACGCGAGCCGAAAGGATGCACGTCCGCTTCGTTGGACTCCCAGGCCACCGCTGCCTACAAAACCACCTCCGCTAGATCCGCCTTCTCCTTGCCGAGGACTGGTCGTCGCCGCTTAGGCCGCCAGCCGATCAGCATACACGGACGCGAACCCAGACACGCATGAGCGCGTGGCTTTGGCTGCATCCCCGACCACCCGGTGGCTGCCTGGCCTAGCTAGCGAGCGCACGGGCGCAGTGGCATGCGCGGGCCTCTGGTAGCGGCCGTGGCTATCCGCCACCACCTGGCCTAGCCGGCGTGCGTGCTCACGGGGGCTGAGACACTCGGCAGAGGCGCGCGGCTTCAACCGTAGAACTAGCCACCCGACTGCCACCTGGCCTAGCCAGCGATGCGTGTGCGGGGCCTAATCTTCTATATCCGATACTCTCGCCTCGTTGGCTGCTACTCAACGTCGTCGAGCACCCTCGTGGCTGGTGCACGCTAGCGCCGAGCCTCCTCACAACCGACGGCACATTGTTCGCCTAGTGCACGGGCTCACCAGATCCGTCCTTTGCCTCGCCGGCATCGGTCGTCGAAGCCATGGATCTGAGCGTCGGCCACCACAACGAGCCGCTGCCGCCACCTCCGATGCGATGCGCAAGCTTCACCAGGCGGAGCCCACCGCGGGCCCTCCATATCCTTCCTTGGCCTCACCGGATCCGGTTGCCATGGCGTGGGTCCACGCGCCGGTGACCAGGGACAAGCGAGCCGCTGCCGAGAGGGAGCCCCCCACTAGGAGCAGCAGGGAGAAATCCCCGCCGCCACCATCCTCACTGTTGCACAGCCCTGCTGTTAGCCCCCTCCTGCGGCGGCGAGGAGGAAGGGGAGAGAGTGGCATCTAAATGATGAAAGAACATCGGCCGTTGAATCATTAAATATAATATTGTTCGTAGATTTAGCACCTCTAATTCTTAACTCATCAGGTTGGATGCCTGATTTCTTCTTTTCCACGACCATCGACGATGAGGTTGATGACTTGGAGTTAATATTCCCACGGGGAGTGTCGATGTGTACCCTTGCACATAGTAACCACAAATGACGGACTGCCTATGGCAGAACCGTCCGAAAATAACACGTTTCCAGAGGCGCTCGTCTTCCACCAGATACTAAGCACTCCAAAAACAAGCTACATCAGACGGTTCCATCGAGCACACCCCAAGGGAGAACTCGAACAATCTATGTTTTTCCTCTATGATCCAATAATGAGAACGAGTTTACAAAACTTAGTCCATTTTATATATCAAGAATTCTCAGAAATACATTATTACAATATCAAGTTCAGAGTGCGAATTTAAACAGCTAGAATTTAAAATAAACATCTAACGATAAGATAAAAGGATCCGCCTATGCCCACCAGAAGAATCCTCCATACAAACAGCTACTCCTCAAGCTGCACCTACAACAGGGGTAAATAAACCATGAGTACACAATGTACTAGCTAGACTTACCCGACTAGTGGAAATAATTTTCTGACTCCAAATGATATGATAAACTTTATGGTTTGCTGGGTTTTCTTTGTGCAAAAAGCCATACTAGTAGTGAATCCTTATGTATGTGTTTTATTAGCAGTCATGACTAGTTCATTAGCTAACCATTCTATGCAAACACCTGTTCTACTTTCAAGCAAGAGTTGATCAATCAGATCCATTTCACCATCTTTCATCTTCCTGTTATTACTACGGTGCTAGATCGTAGACAAGTCATACCATATTACACGACGATTCGTGAATCAATGTAGCCCAGCTGGAGTACCCCGAAACACATGCCCCGCTTGTACCCCAGGCACAAGCAGGACCAATCTATCACTCTTCTGTCAAGGGATTTAGGTCCCCATCCAAACTTGGACTCTAAGCCCCCACACCTGAGTCCTGGACTCAATATGGTGCTTAGACCTCCACCATCCCGCCCCAATCAGTCGGTCCAGAAAGAGCGAGCCCACGACAAGAGAGCAACGAGCCTTCCCATCCCCATAAGCAAGTATGTGCTCAGGATAATAAGTCTGTGACCTGACTAGAATCCAATGCAATGGTCAGCCCTTAACTGACACGGAAAGGAAAACCAGTGTAACCAAGCTATGCCCGTTGGCGGCGGGACATAACCTCTTGCACCAACCAATACCCATACCATATCCCTGCCCGGTCTCCCTTTCTTTTCACTATTTTATCATGAGAGTGATAATAATAATCACCTATTGTGAGTAACAACAGGTTACTCACGCTACCGATAGCCTAAGCATAGCAGCTATGTGGCCTAAGCAAGTAGGACTCATAGGTAGGTATATCTATGCATGTAGTTTCAACAATAAGCCTATAATGTAAATGCACATCACATATATATATCCAGTGATTATTCAAAATAAGGGTTATGCACCGGGGCTTGCCTTGGGCAAGCGTGGTGTCAGCTCAGTCAGTCAGTGGCGGCTCCGGGACCTCCTCCTGCACGAGGATCTCCTCCTCATGCTCCTCAATCATCTCCTCAAACTCGTGATCTCCGATGGTCATGATCTCCACCAACTCGTTCTCTACATGCTTGCAATGATGATGCAACACTTAGTATTTCGGCAACAACAACTCTTAAAATAAGAATACACATGATAAACTACTAAGCTAGCTCTAATGACTAAGATACTAAGCTAACTATCATCTTCATCAAGTAAAGTGTTGGGTTCAACTAACAAACACATAGCTTTACAAATGAAGGATATATCTCTATTTCTACTAATGATTTAATGTATATTTAAAAGAAAGAGCATTTAACTACCCTTATGTTAAGCCTATTCTAAAGCAACAAAAATTACAGTGAGCACATAATAATACCATGAAGCTACTGTAAATTTTTCAAAGCTAAAGCTATCATCATTTTGCCACAAAAATTCCTACAATATTTAACCTAATAATAATAAGCATTCTCAAATGATTTAATAACTCCTGGTATGAACAAGTATATATATGAACTAAATACAATAACAAGTAGAGCATAATTTTAGGAACTTAACAAAATTGGTTTCACAATTTTTGATACCTACATGATTTTATATTAATTATCAAAGTTTAGCTCAGAATTAAAATAAAAAGCTATTTCTATTCTCCATGAAAAAAAGCTAAACTCATTTTGGCCCAACGTGGCCCACACGGCGCAACGAGCGCGCGCGTGAGCGCGCGGTGGCCCACAGGCATGGCCCACGTGAGGCCAGCCTACAGCGCGAGGCAGCTCACGGCGGTGGAATCCCGCGCGTGCTGGCACATTAGCAAAAACGCCCCTAAACTATGAGCAAAACAACCCGTAGTCCACATTACTATTTCTATA